ATATAACATATATTCGTGATATAATTAACTGTATTTTTATTTTTGTATTAGATGCCTAATATTTAACAAGTAATAATTTGAATATTTATAAACAACAACTTGTAATATTAAAAATGCATCAAAAATACTTTTTGATTTACTTCGAATTTCAAAGATAGATCTTAATCTAAGATTAGAATTAACAGTTTTTATAATTCAATAAGAAACTTCTAGCCAATATTATATTTGGGTAGAGTTTATATTATAAATAAACTCAATTCAATAACGATTGTCTTTCCTCTTATGATTACTCGACATTGACAACTTCATAATCAGCAGTGTTGTATAAATCAATATAAGTTTTAATCTGATCATTTTCTTACTGCAAGCAATTTTATATTTATTAATTATATCCACCACATTGTTTGGATGACAATTCATCAAAATTTTCTTACAATAAATTTGTGGGTCTAATTGATAAAAATCTAAGAGATAATTAATAAAATTTACTTGTAAAACGATAATAAAGCTGTCAGGATAGCCGTACAAATAGAAATATAAACTTACACCTAAAGCTCTTTTGTTCTTCTAATGGCTTAACTAACAACAAAATACATTTATAATAAAGTTTAAGGTAAATCCTCACATAAAAATTAAAAGAAATAGGATTTAACTAAATTGCTCATTGCTTTTCCAGCATGATGGGGGAGAAAATATCTTCCTATTCTTGTATTTGGAATGATGATAACATTAAAAGGAGCAGAAGAATCTAGGAGAGTTGAAAGTGCTGCATTTCTACCAAGAAAACTGATAGCATAGAAATCGTTAATAAATTTGCTTGACAGCAATTTTGCAGTTTTTTAGTTTTAAACTACTCTGACACCAATTAGGTAAAAGAATTGCAAAATGTAAATTCCTTATGAGAATGCAGTCGTAATAAGCGCTAAAATAAATACGATGAATTCTTCACAATTGTAAGCATTTAGAATGAAGACAACATCATTATATAAATCAAATTTGAATAATTAAGAAGATAGTAAAGTTATTCCATAACTTAATAAGATTCCCCATTTTGATTAAGTGAATTCTTCTGCTTATGCAGTGACTGCAGTCGTAAATTTACCAGCATATTAAGTAATCTTCTTATTAACAGCGGTAGCCATTTTTTACAAAATATTATGTCCTCCCATGTCATAGTTTTGGCTTTGATTTTGATTTTGAGCTTACTTTTACTTTTTAAGCATGCTAGCGTCTTCTTCACTTGCAGGGAGTATCTTATTATTATGTTTTTCTTGGATTTATCCATCTGGCTACTATTAATTTTCTTCATTTTCTTCTTTTTCATTTGTTACTTTACTAACAATTATTCTTTAAGTATGATTTGGAACTATTTAAGCCACTTTATAATATAGAATTGCCTCAGTTATAAGTGTAATGACAGCAAACGCGTAATATAAGTATGAGGCTTCTTTGCTTGTTCCATTAGCACAGATATAATTTTTTGTCAATTAAGAAGCGTCTCTATCTAATAACTTATAAGTCAGTAAATAAGGTCCAGCTAAAGTTATCACAAAAAATAATAAGTTTGTAATGACAATAACAAAAAAGTAGAATTTTTGTTAGGATAAATAATCGTTTAATCGTTTTACTTCGTCATTAAATATGTATCTCTTAGTGGGAATAACAAAAAAGTTAAAGAACTTATAAAATGTGATTTTAAAGAATTTGCGAATGGGCCCAACAGCCTTATAGTTATAAAATATTTCTCTTAGTGAGTAACCAATACCAATATTGAGGAAGTTATCAAAACTATAACTTATCATTGCATATTTAAAATAATAAGTGTCGTAAAGAATAGAGTATATTCCTTTTATAGCTTAAATACTAAGAGAGTTCTAGATTCGAATTTTTGAAGGAGGAATCAATCTAATTAGAGAAATTATATCTCTTTCATCGAAGCCTTGTCTAAACATCTCATCTACAAGGTCATCGTTTAAATCATATTCAACTTATATCTAATCAATACTAGTGCTGTTATGTTTAATATTATTCCATATATTCAAAATTTGAAATTAGTTTATTTATTCTAATTCAGCAAATTCTGTTTATATAATCTTAATTTTAAAGATATTACAACTTTTCTCTTTAAAATAATTAAAAGAGTTTTATTGAAATAATAAATTATATGGGTAAGGTGAGCCGGGATATTCAGTAATGTATCCAAAATAATTTGCAAAATTATCTAAAGACTATAAACTAATGTAGATATCAATTAAATCATTCTTTTTTGTAGTATAATACTAATTTAGAATATTTAAATAATGATCACACATGTTTAAATGATAAGATGAATATTTTGATCTAGTGAGTTTCCAGTCTTTTAAATATACGATATTCTACCTTATTTTGAGAATTCTTTAAAACATTTATAAAATATCCCCAAATGCCTCTGGGACTCCATCAAAATATCCAAAATTTAGACTATTATTATATTCTATTTCAACAGGGATATCGTAAGGAGTTTAGTAATTTGGAGGTTATTCAGATAAATAGTCAGCTATATAATCTTTTAGACTAACATTATAACATAAGAATGTGTGAAGAGGCACTTTTTTATTAGGAGAATCAAGGGCTCTTTCCCTTATTACTTGGGCTATGACATCTAACTTTATTTGACTATCTAACATTGTACTAATCATATTTAATTCTTCCAAGTAAACCTTTGGATGAAAGAAGAAGTTTTTAAACAAATTTTACCATCCGATATGAGTCAATGAATTATTTTAAGAAAAATTAATTTTCTTAACATTAAATTTGTAATTTGATGGTTTTTTGGAGAAAAATTAGAGAGCTTCTGCTATGATATACCTTGTTTTTAGATCATTTAATGCCATAAAATGAATATTCAAAGTTTCTAAATCAGGAGTGTTATCAGTGAAGACAAAAGTCTTTAAAAAATTTGACCAGGTTTCTTGTTCCTCAATAAATTCATTTCTTCCAATGTCTACATATTTTATAGGGTATTTTGTTGAATATTATCTTTACTTATCCTTCTAGAATTAAAACCAATTTTATGCTGCCAAACATAGGCTATTTGTCATTGCATCATTCCAATTTGTCACTAAAACTTCAAATCTCTCTATATTGATATATTCAAAATACAGTAGATCATTAACATATTTTTGAACACCATCATCTCCAATATACAATGAATAATAGAGGGTAACTCTTTTTAGTTTCAATGTTGCAGATTTTTCTCTCCCTTCACTTTTGATCTTCTCTCTTAAATTATTAGAATACTTGCATAATGCATCTATTCCTGCTAGTTTGAAATGGCACTAATGTAATACTAACTCTTCTAAATTACTTGATTCATTATAGATTAGCATTTTACTGATAACCTAAAGAGCATTGATATTTAGCTAGGTGCTCGAATTATATAATAAACCCATGTTTAAATTGAAATATCGTATTTTTTACCCTAATTCATAGATATCAAATTTATTTTCCAACAGTTAAGGATCTTTTAGAATGATTTCTGTAATGCCAACATTAGGGTTGAAAAGGAATTTCTTGTAAAATTCACTTGGGTTGTTGCATGTTACTGATTTAATTTCAAATTTAAGATTTTTAGTTTGATGCACATCCATTAGCTAGCATATGTCATAAATTTCAAACTCATTTTCTAATAGTAATTTTTATACCTAGAAGAGTTCTAATTTCTCAAATAATTTAGAAATTTTTTCAAATAAGTTTTTATTAAGTTTAAGATCTCCTTTAAAAATTAATTTTTTGAGCATCAAATTATCAAAATTTTGGACTTTATTTAAGGTTTCAACAATAATTGAAGTGGTATCAGACTTATCAATAGTTATTTCTTACAGTCCACTTAAAATTAATTTAGCTAAAAGAAGACTATATTATTTAATATTGCTAGAAGTATCTTATTTATATTTTAAATTGATAGACTCTACTTTGACTTTTGAAAGATTGAATTGATCAAATTATTCTGAATTCATATCTGCTAAATTTGGACAACTACTTAGATTTTTTATAGGCATTCTTTAACCAAATACTAACCATTAACAATAATTTATTGTATCATCTAAGTCTAAAGTTTCTTCAAGATCTGGAAGAGATAATTCCTCTAATTGATAAACCTCTTTTCTGTCAATGTTCTTTAGAATTAAATGTAAAATAGGCTAAGTACAACCAAATATAGATAATTTGCTTAATTCTATATGGGTAGAACAAAGAAATATTTAAATGAATTTCTCAGTACTTTCGGCATCATTTGCTGTTAATGATTTAATCTTTATAGATTTTATTTAACTTTTATGATCATGTTTAGATTATTTTAATGCTGATTCTAGATAATATTTAGAGAATTCAAATGCTTCCATGCAGGCCTTAATGAAGACAATCATATTTAGGGATTCTAATTCTAAGGTTTTTAATTCACTTTCAGGATGAATTATAAAGCCAACAATCAATCGATAATATTATTATTTTAATTCATTATCATTGAGATTTTTGAAATCCATTTTGATGACTAAACTTGTTATTTGTTTGGGGAATTTAGGAGTGAATTTCTTATAATTATATAGTACTTTTTCTTTTAAAAATAATTATGAGGTTTCAATTAGCTTTTAAGTCTCATTTATAATATTTTCTTTTTCCTTTTCAAAAGTACTTAATAATAATGATGGGTTAACTACAGTTATTGATTGTTCCATATTCGCTTCTTCCTTTTTTTCTAATTTGCTTTCGTTCAATATAACATCCCAGAGTTATTGCCACGAGTTCACCGAAATTTGATTATTATTATTTAAATTCAGATCTCTAAGGAGAAAGACCCTATTATATAATTTCTGTTCTTCCTTTATCGCCATAAGTTATTTGGATAATGCTTGCATCATATCATCATTTAAAGCGCAGCTGTCTAAATTGAGTATTTCTAATAATTATCTATTTGAGTTTAATACTATCTCTTTAATTAATGATTGAAAAGTTTCAACATCTTATATTACAGTTCTTTCGCAAGAAAAAGACTTGATTTTGTATGAATAATATTGATCTAATTATAAACGTTTGATAATTTCCATGCACTTTTTGATTCCAATTTTAAAATCTTGACAATTGATGAATGAGAGATTCCTTAGTTCACAAATGACTAAAAACCCACTCAAGACATCGTCTTAGATTGTACAGTTTTCATAATTCAATTGATACAGTGCAAATGGTAACCCTATACTTTCATTTTAAATTTATGACAACATATTTTGTTCATTTATATCTCTCACCATTCCTGCTGTTTCTTTTTTTGACTTAATTGTGTTGAATAATTCTTACTCAAAAGGAAATAATAATTAATTTAGTACTTCAGAGAATTGTGAGTTTAATACTACATTCTTTATTGTCAAAATTTAAAGCGACAGTCTTTAATTAATTATAAAATTCTGAATCACTTTTCTCCAATCTTCCTTTTACTCTATATTAATTTTATCAATTTCTAAATGAGTCAAAAATTAAAGTGGATTGTCATCTGCATTTTCTTATACTAATTTTTCTATTTTATTTAAAAATTATTGGAGCCTTATATTTTTCAATACTAAGCTTTTTAGTTGAACTTTTTTATTGAAGATAACTTATTCAAATATCATTTCTTCTCCTTTGCCTTCTTGAAGTTCTCCCAATGCTAATTTTTCAAGTGTAACCTTTCCATTCTACTCAACTACGCTTTTCAAAGATTAATAATTCTCTTAATCATTGCTGGTGTAAACATCAATCAAAACAAGTTCTTTAAGTTATATTTTTGGATTAAAAACAAATAGTTCAATAAATTAATTGATTTCGATATATATATCTGAAATATTTTGAAGTTTTAGCGTTTTCAAACTATGAAATTAATCATCATGAAGCTTGGAACAATAAGATGTCATTTCTTGATACCAAAGATTCCATTCAAATCTCATAGAGTCATTACTATAATTAAATTCTTCTAATTTTACTGAAGGCAAACACAAAAAACATTACAAAGTCTGGAAATTCATTTGGTAATCACCATCATCCATAGATATTTTTTTGATTGAATATCGAACATCTGCATTGGCATTTGTTTTCTCTATAACTGAAGCACATGCCTCTTATAATCCCTCAGCTCTATTTGCTTACCGAAATGTACTTGCTTGGATTTCGATTGTTTCTATTTCAATAATGCTACCTTTTTCTGTAAATAGATATTCTTAAAAAAATTCTTTTTTTGTTTAAACTTCCATTCTATATGATTGTTTAGGATAAACAATATGTTTCAAAGGATGCTTATAATTTTTAAAGAAGGAATCCTCTTATTTCTTCTTCTCCATGTAAGTTAGAAATTTCTTTTTGGCGTTGATATATCCTTGACACCTTCCAACATCAAAATTTTACACATCTGAAATTATATAGATATATAATATTACGTAATGTTCTTATATTGGTAAATTCTGTGAATACTGTATTTAGGAGTAGTTTCTCGACTAAATCATGACGATTGTAGTTCTCAACGCTACTTAAATCTAAAATTTATAAATAGTCCTTTCTGAACTATTTTTCTATTTGAATAAAATGAATAAATTACTTTCTCTATAGAGTTATTTACTTTCTTTAGTTTTGTCTGCAAATGCTTCAGTCAGTACAAACATTTTAAATAATGTTGACAATTATTAAGGCAAACTCCCTGTAAATGTAATTATCTTGCAAAATTTGAAAATATTATCTGAAAGGGCTTTGAATGTTTTCTCCAACATTTCCTTATTATCAGAGATGTCAAATTCTCTTAGCTTTAGATTGTCATATCTATTCCCCATCAATAATTCAATAGTTTAAGAATTATGAATCAAGGGCTAATTAGCAATTTTAAGGACCAGTAAACCTTTAGCAGAAGAAATTGAGGTACACATGTTATTAAAAGCATTTTGAGTGCCTAAAAAATTGTTACTGATATCTAAATAAGTTAATTGTTCGAGATTATCCTCTTTATATGTTGTTTGTATAAGATCTTAAAAGCCTTTCCAATTCTTATCTGTAAAACAATTTTTCAATTAAAGCTTATAATATTAGGTTTAATCTATTTTAACTTCAGCCCTGTGTATTCTTTTGCTTTTTGCTTCATCATTTTTCCTCCTCAACAACCTAATGATTGCTACTGAAAGGGCTTATTTATTCTTAATCAATTGATAATAATGTATCATATTCTTCTCAAACTTTTTAAATAAATATTCGTTCAATTCTTTTAGTAAGACTCCTTTGTAAATACCAGGGTTACCCATAATATATATCTAACATATGTTAAATGCTTACACTTCTGACATCAATGTTTCTCTCAAATAAAAAGTAAAGGAATTCAGCAATATCCTCATTATCAAGCTCATTCTGTTATAATTCAATAATTAATTTCTATGGATCCACCCAAGAAAGCCATCTGCTTAATACATCTAAATGAACTTTATCTAACTATGTATCTATAAATCCGATTGCTTTCAATCCTTACATATCTCTTAACTTAGTTTCTATATTAATCCAGTTCTCAATCTTAAATGTACCTTTGAATCCTTTTATCTACAACCTTCTTCGATTATGTTGTTATGCATATATCTAAAAATTAACTTCAATATACTTCTAACTGAGCAAATTACTACTCTAAAGGCAAATCGGGTTTAAAAGTGAACTTCGCTTTTTTTTATCCCTTTTTTTCTCCTTTTTAATTGTGAACTCTTAAACTCAGAGCTCTGGAAGGTCTTTTAGAGAACTCATCAACTATTCCATTAGCTGCTTTTTGTGCTCCACCGAATAATATATTTTACATACAAATATTGTATTATAATAAATAACTGTTTTATTAATGAAATCGCATATAAATATGTTCGATAAATGAATATATTGATTTCTGACAGAATGAACTAGTGATTTAGTTGACAATCATAATAATCAAAATCATCGAATCTATAAATTATTAATTAATGGTATATATAAACTGTCACTAATGTTGTTAATCAAATTCTAATATAGTATTCATATCAATACTAATCTCGAATATTGATATGTTTATACCCAAAGGCAATTATTTTTTGCATAAATTTTGTGATATAATTCCCATCTAAAATATGAGATATAATCTAGAATGCCAAAGCATGGAAATCATAAAAGTACAACAATAATATGATAGTAAGACTTGAATATTTTATGATTTTTTTAAATCATAAAATATTGTTAGTAATCTAACAAGAATTTAATTTTAAACGAGATTAATAAATAAGAACTAGTAAATTGTTAAATTCAATCAATGCAAAGTTAGATTTCGCTTGAAATGATATTATCTGTAATTATATTATACTTGTTTTCTATTACAATAACTTGAAATACATTATTAATATTATTTCAATTGGAAATTATAAATTGGAAATACAACACATAAACTTCATGTTATGAAAATTTTCCTTTATAAATTTCTGTTATTTTGATATCAATACTAGTTCTCTTAACGAAAAGAGCTTTTATTAATTAGTCTCTGTATCATAAGATTTAATGATAATATATCATCCTTCATAGTTCTCTCCATCTCCTTCAGCTGCTTCAATCGAAAAAGAATAATCCTTCTCAAGGGCTGAAATATTTTCTCTTGCTTCAATGAACTCTCCCTCTTCCATTCCCTCCTATATGTACCAATGAATGAACGCCTTTTTGGAATACATGAGATCAAACTTATAATCTATTTTTGCAAAAACTTCTGCTATTGCAGTTGTATTCGAGATCATACATGCTGATCTTGTTACTTTGGCCAAATCTCCTCCATTAACAAAAACAGGAGGTTAATAATTAATACCTAATTTAAATCCTGTCGGACACCAATCAACAAATTAGACTGTTTTATTTGACCTTATTTATGCAAGTGCAGCACTAACATCCTTTGGTATTATGTCTCCTCTATAATACAATGAACTTGCCATATATTTACCATGATTCGGATCACATTTAACCATCATGCTTTAAGATTCAAAAAGAGAAGTAGTGATTTCAGAAATAGTTAGTTGTTCATGATATACTTTTTATGCTGCAACAATTGGTGCATATGATGATAGCATAAAATGAATTTTAGGATAAGGAACTAAATTTGTTTGAAAATCATCCAACTATGAATTCAGCTATCCATCAAATCTTAATGAAAGTGTTAAAGATGAACATACCTAAGCTATAATTCTATTTAAATTTGTATAAGAACACCTTTCTATCTCCAAATGTCTATTGCAAATATCATATATGGCCTCATTATCGAATAATATACAAACATCGTTATGATCAATTAATGCACTTTCACACAATACGGTATTGTAAGGTTCAACAATAGAAGATGAAATTTTAGGAGATGGAAAAATGGCAAAACCAATCTTTGATTTCTTACCATATTCTTCGTGTATTGCTTCCAATAATAAAGATGCAAATCCAGAGCCAGTACCTCCACCAACAGAATGAAATATTATAAATCCCTAAAGACCCATGCAATCTTCAGTTAACTATCTAATTCGATCCATACAGGCATCTATGATATTTTTACCTATTCCATAGTAGCCTCTTGCATAAATGCCTCCAGCATCATCTTTTCCTGAAATCATTTATTAAGGTCCAAATAATTCTCTAAATTGGCTTCTTCTCAATTCATCAATACTATTCTTATCTAAATCAATAAATAAAGATCTTGGGACGTGTTTGTTATTTCCAGTTTCTGAAAAGAAATTCTGAAATGCATCATCGTTAATTCTCAATGTCTTATCTTATGTCATATAACCATCCAGTTAAATCCCATGTTCTAGACCAAATAATTCCCAACAATTATTTCCTAATTGGATTCCTGCTTATCCTATATGCAAAGAAATTATTTCTTTCATCTAGATTGCTTTTTATGATATATTGGTGAAAAATGATAAATAATTGAGGATTTTTGATTAAATTAGAGATTTAATATTAACTATAAATTATATATATTTGGAATACAAGAATATATATTCTACATAATTGAATTTTATAGAAATTAGAATACTTTGTATATATATCCATCAGTAGTATTCATTAAAATAGTATATACTTTCTTAAATACTTGTAATTTTTGAGAGATTTTAGATACATGATGGTATTCTATAAAAAATCGAAGTGCCGAGGATCAATAAATTTGGTAAGTAATAGAGATAGATTAAGATTGTGTATTAATAATAATATTTATGATAAAATTGATAATCTACTTTTTATTATTGAGCTCAGCCTTAGGAATTTATAGTGATGATGATGTGTTTTATTGTTACGATAATTTGACTGATGAGGAACTGTCTGAAAAGATTATAGTGCAACCCTTAGATCAATATATATTTCTTATAGTTTGTAATTGAAAATGTTATCATCATTTAGCCCCATTAGCATTTATGTGCACTATATTCATCACCTACAGCTTTATCAAGTATCCGAATACAAGGAAAATGCCTGGGGATATAGTTTTCTTTATATCTCTGTCTGATGCAATATTATGTATACATTGGTTTGTGACTGCTTGTTACTACACTACATACGGTTAGAATCCTTTGAGTTCAGGTTTATTCTGTCAGATCAATTCGATGTTTAGTATATTTGCAGGAACAGGAGAAGTATCTTATAATGTAGTGTTTTGCATTTACATTCGATTAACTCTAAAAACTCAATTCAAAGTAATACCCAAGTTGCCTACGATACTGCATTCATTGGCATGGTTAGCAATGATATCAATTCCACTCTTAGCTAAGTTTACTGATAAAAATGGTCTTTCAATATTTGGCACCTGCAGTTTCAAATATCATCCTGGGTTTCCGTTGGCTGGTATCGTACTGGTATTTTTATACACTCTTATTTCATTGTATACAATATGGTATTTCAATAAAGCCATTCCTGATGATGAGAAATACAGAGAAATCAAGGATACTTTTGCAAAATATTACTATCGTTACATCAAAGGATCGTGTATTATATGGACATGCGAGGCAATATCCTTTACAATTGCAGGCTTCAATTGCTCATATTTTCATGAGGGATTTCTCCTTATTTTTATAACCATAGGCAATTCAGCTAAATTATGCACACCAATAGTATTATCCATTTTAAGATACAACGATCCAACTATAAAAGATCAAGTCAAAAGATTGTGGAGGAAAGTTTGGAGGAGGGACAATGTCTAAAGTGAATTCTGTAATATTATTAACTATTCTTATAGTGGATGATGATGCCAACTTTTATGATACAATCCATTAAAATCTTAAATTTGATTAAGTCAATACAATCATTTTTGGTATTAGAGCTGTTTGCAAATCAGATGTAAAGGCAGAAGTATCTATATAAGATGAATTTGATCAAATTAATATTCTTAGGAGATATACAGATTATAAATTCCAAAATGAGACAGTTTCAAATAATGATAATGCCAAATTGAAATCTAATTACAATTTAGATACCGACGATTTTATTGAAGAAATCCTCTACGAAATAGATAACAAAGGATCTCAGAATGAAAACACCGTCGAATTAAAATTGTTATAATCAACATTTACTGTCTATGCACCAACGATATTCCAGAAAATCAGAGAGAGGGATAAAAATATGATTAATCCTTTCAAATCATTTGATCTCATTGCCAATTAAGATCAAATTAAGTAATTCAAAGGACCAGATGGAGGCAAGGGAGGTGCTTTCTTCTTCTTCACTCATGATAACAAATTAATCATCAAAACATTGTCTGATTAAGAATTAGCTGTTATTAGAAAGAATCTGATACCTTACTTCCTTCACTTAAGTGAAAATGAAACAGTCATTTCACCAATCTATGGCATTTATAAATTATTCAGATAAAATGTATTATATTTATTCAATTATTTAGGTTGAAGAGTCCATTAATGTAGTAGTGATGAGAAATGCTATGTAAATACCATCCATGTACAGAGTCAGAACTTATGATATCAAAGGATCTGAACACTCAAGATAGGTGTTAAAGAAAAACAAAAAAACCAATGATATTGAATTAAAGAAAATTACATTAAAAGACATTGATTTTCAGAATTTAGAATAATAACTCCATATACCTTAATAATATAGAGAAAGATTGAGAAAATGTTTAATTAACGATGCTAACTTTTTTAGTAAAATCAAGTTGATGGATTATTCCCTCTTGATTATTAAAATGGATTGGTATTCATATAGCTAGAATAACCCACATATTAAAGAGGCAGATGTAAATATAATTTCATATTTCGAAGATTCCTAATTATTTTTCATCTGATCTATTATGCATACCATGCATAAATGCTGTTGAAAGAGGAATTTATTATCACATAGCTATCATTGATTATTTGTAAGAGTGGAATGCCTAAAAAATTATTGAAAAGCACACTAAAAAAGCTATTCATGTAAATATAGCTTTAGATACATCTGCTCAGAATCCAGATGATTATGCTAAAAGATTTATAGAAAAAGTTGCAAATGTAATTATATGAGTATTCTATAAATCTAATTGTTTATGTTTAAATAAAGATTTAGTTATTTAACTGTGTCTGTTAGATCGATCTATATTTTCTTTTATTATTCATTAGATAGGTCTATAGTTATTTACATATTTGTTAAATTCATAATTATTTAAGGTGGATTTGTTAAATAATGTTTGAATTATATTCATTTTAAGAAATGTTGAACCCTATTAAATAGTAATATTTTAATAGAGATTATAAAATGTTTACTTGGTTAATATATAATTTTTATATAATAAAATGAGTAAAGGGAAATATGTAGAGATAAAATGTTAAAATAGTGAGCATGACTATAACATTAAAATGATATGCTTAAATGAATTTTGTAAAGATATCAGATTGTTTTGTATGAAATGTGTTTAAAATAAATTTCATCATTCTCATTTAGAATCATGGATTGACATGCCTCAATTATATGAACAACTAAGTAATCAAGAGTAGGAATGTCTGAAACTCTTGGATAATATTTCAGAGTAATTTGAGTCAATCATTCACTCATTCGAAAAATTGAAAGAAGGGATTAAATTAAAATATATAGTAAACAAAGAAAGATTAGGAAGATTGAATGTGCAATAACTAAATGTAGCAGTTGGTGAAATGATATAATTCTAAGAATATAAATAATAAGCTCAGTATTCTATATCTAGCTGCCTCAAAACTTTGTAAAATGATTTAACTAAGTTTATTGTTAAGTTGAGAATAGAAGATTTGAATTATTGCACACAAAATGAAAACAATAACAAAGAGTCATTAAATGGAAATGGTAGGAGACATTCATTTAATTAGGTAAAAAACAAAGCATTTTAAATGAGAGAGAGATGTTAGAATCAACAATTAAGATGTTAAATCAAACTTCGGTTTTGAATGCTGAAAATTTATCTGCATTTTCAATGAAATGTTATTGATCATCATTAAATTTAGCATTAACTTTAAAATCACTTGGCCAATTTGCAGAAGCTATTACATGGGCAGATAAAGCTTTAAATATTGACCCAAATCACATTAAATCATTATATTGCAAAGGTGATTTTAATATAAACATTAGCTAAGTGCTTATATATGCTCGACAAATATGAAGAATCATAAGAATGGGTCGAAAAAGTTTTAAAATATGATCCAAATCATGTTAATGCGTTGCGATGCAAAGGTGGATATGTTTATGTCATTTTTAAGGAGAAAGCTTAGTTTAATAAGGACAATATTAATATGCCTTAACTTGGATTAACAAGGCCTTATAAATTGAATCCTAAGATAGTAATACTATCTACTCAAAAGGTAATTAATTTCGATATTCTACTATTAGCACATTGCCTATATCTACTTGCTAAATACAATGAAGCAATTCTCGAAACTGAGAAAGTCTTAGTTAAAGATCCTTGTCATTTGAACTCTTTGTCTTGCAAAAGTACGATTCTAATATAATTGCTTAGTTAGAAGTTTATTCATGCTTGATAAATATGAAGAATCTATCCTGTGGGCTGACNTTCATAATTATTTAAGGTGGATTTGTTAAATAATGTTTGAATTATATTCATTTTAAGAAATGTTGAACCCTATTAAATAGTAATATTTTAATAGAGATTATAAAATGTTTACTTGGTTAATATATAATTTTTATATAATAAAATGAGTAAAGGGAAATATGTAGAGATAAAATGTTAAAATAGTGAGCATGACTATAACATTAAAATGATATGCTTAAATGAATTTTGTAAAGATATCAGATTGTTTTGTATGAAATGTGTTTAAAATAAATTTCATCATTCTCATTTAGAATCATGGATTGACATGCCTCAATTATATGAACAACTAAGTAATCAAGAGTAGGAATGTCTGAAACTCTTGGATAATATTTCAGAGTAATTTGAGTCAATCATTCACTCATTCGAAAAATTGAAAGAAGGGATTAAATTAAAATATATAGTAAACAAAGAAAGATTAGGAAGATTGAATGTGCAATAACTAAATGTAGCAGTTGGTGAAATGATATAATTCTAAGAATATAAATAATAAGCTCAGTATTCTATATCTAGCTGCCTCAAAACTTTGTAAAATGATTTAACTAAGTTTATTGTTAAGTTGAGAATAGAAGATTTGAATTATTGCACACAAAATGAAAACAATAACAAAGAGTCATTAAATGGAAATGGTAGGAGACATTCATTTAATTAGGTAAAAAACAAAGCATTTTAAATGAGAGAGAGATGTTAGAATCAACAATTAAGATGTTAAATCAAACTTCGGTTTTGAATGCTGAAAATTTATCTGCATTTTCAATGAAATGTTATTGATCATCATTAAATTTAGCATTAACTTTAAAATCACTTGGCCAATTTGCAGAAGCTATTACATGGGCAGATAAAGCTTTAAATATTGACCCAAATCACATTAAATCATTATATTGCAAAGGTGATTTTAATATAAACATTAGCTAAGTGCTTATATATGCTCGACAAATATGAAGAATCATAAGAATGGGTCGAAAAAGTTTTAAAATATGATCCAAATCATGTTAATGCGTTGCGATGCAAAGGTGGATATGTTTATGTCATTTTTAAGGAGAAAGCTTAGTTTAATAAGGACAATATTAATATGCCTTAACTTGGATTAACAAGGCCTTATAAATTGAATCCTAAGATAGTAATACTATCTACTCAAAAGGTAATTAATTTCGATATTCTACTATTAGCACATTGCCTATATCTACTTGCTAAATACAATGAAGCAATTCTCGAAACTGAGAAAGTCTTAGTTAAAGATCCTTGTCATTTGAACTCTTTGTCTTGCAAAAGTACGATTCTAATATAATTGCTTAGTTAGAAGTTTATTCATGCTTGATAAATATGAAGAATCTATCCTGTGGGCTGACAAAGCATTGAATAAAGAACCAAACCATTTGATTATTCTAACATGCAAAAGTATTCCAATCTACTGTTATTCTTAGCATAAAGCTTATTTATTCTTGATCGCTTTAAAGAGGCCATAGTATACGCAGATCGAGTTTTAGAAATAGACCCTAAAAATATCAACATTCTCGACTGCAAAGGTTGACATAATATTTAATTTAACAGCATAGTGCTTATTTTAGCTAGCAAATTACAAAGAAGCTATTATTGTAGCAGATCTAATTTTGACTCTCAACTCAAAACATCTCAGTGCTTTACGCTATAAAAGTTGTTAATTTTCATTAATTATAAGCTACTTGTTTATACGCATTGAATGAATATAGAAATTCAATATCATATGCAGATTAACTTCTTATTATAAATCCTAATGATGAGAGCACTATAATAACTAAAGGTCAATATACATTTACATTCCAGGAAATAGTTTAAAATAACTCGGAGAATTTAAAGAGGCCTTAGTTTGGCAGGATAAAGCCTTATCTATCAACCCAAAAAATTTGTCCATGCTAGTTTCCAAATGTATCAATCTTTTTAATAAATAAAGCATAATGTCTATTTCAACTAGATCGATTCTAGGAAGCCATTGAATATGCCAATTAGGTACTAATCTTAGATCCCAATAATGTTGAATTCTTATACTCAAAAGGTAATGTAAATTTAAATCTTTAGCTGAGTGTCTAAGACATCTTGAGTAATATGAGGAGTCAATCTAATGGGCTGATAGAGCATTAGCGTTAGATTATAATCATGTTAACTCTTTAAATTGCAAATGTTTATACTTTCATTATAATTTTTAGAAAATAGTCTACGGTTGCTTAATGAACAATAGAGTGCTTAGACTATTGTGGATATGAGTCTAGTGATCTATCCAATGCAAGATGAATTTTGTGTTTCATTATTGAGAAAAGGTATAATATATAATTGCACTTTATTAGCTAACAACTTAATATAAACAGGGTAAGATTAAGATGCTATAGTTTTATTAGATAAGGCTTTATCCATTGATTCTAAAAATATTTATTCTTTGGAATGCAAATGTATTTTGATAATGATTCATTAATAGTGCAATGCATATTCAGGTTGAAGGAATATGAAAATGCAATCGTGCTGTCCAATAAAATCTTAGAGATTGACCCTAATAATCTTACAGGCTTGTAGTGTTTAGGTTATATGGATTGAATATTTTTAGCCGATAGTTTAAGGTTACTTGGTAAATATTAGGAAGCAATTGTTCAAGCGGATAAAATATTGTCACTAAATGAAAATTCTGTATTATCATTGTAGTGCAAAGGTATAAAATAGCAAAATTCTTAGCTTTATGCTTAAATATACTTGGTTAATAGAGAGAAGCTTTAGTTTTGGCCAATAAAGCTTTGACTATTGAACCTAATTCAGTAGAATCATTGACTTGTAAAGGTAAGTTTTATGTTTAAGTAAGGAAATATCTTATAACACATCGGACAATATTCTGAAGCATTGAAATTGTCAGATTAAGTATTAGATGGATATCCACAAAATTTGGAGTCTTTAAAGTGCAAATGTAAGAGAATGGTCTCCATAATTAGCTCATTGTCTATATATGTTGACTCGATATTAAGAGGCCATTAATTCAGCAAAAGTAATCTTAGATCATGAGCCCAAGAATATTAATATTCTATAAATATTTGGTATTAATAAATTATACCCATAATAGTGTAAAGTTTATTCAAACTTGGTATTTTTGGAGAGGCAATTATTTTTGCTGACAAGATACTAGAACTCTTCCCTAATCATTTAGATATATTGCTTTGTAAAGGTTAGAAAATTTGAATAATTTAAGCTCATAGTTTAAGATTACTTGGGAAATTTAATGAGGCCTTAGACATTGTAGACAAGGTACTTTGCATAGATTTAAATAATCTTAGTGGAATGTAGTGTAAAGGTTGTAATGCATTTATAATTTAGCTTAAACTTTATATATGTTGGATAAGAATGCTGATTCCATTATTTGGACAGAGAAGGTCTTGGCTATTGATCCCAATCATATCAGCACATTACACTGTAAAGGTATTACTTCATCTTAAGTAATAGCTGACAATTTAAGATTGCTTGGTAATTACAATGAAGCAATCAAATTGGCAGATAAAGTGTTGGCTATCGATCCTAAATTTGTTAATGCCTTATATTGTAAAGGTTTCTTTATTTCATTGATAATTAGCTGATAGTTTAAGATCACTCTCTTAGTATAATGAAGCCTTAATTTGGGCTGATAAAGTATTGGCTATAGATCCAAGACATGTTAATACTTTAGGAACCAAAGGTAAGCCTCAATACTAATTAGGCGATATTTTAAGAATTTATAAGAAATACGACTTTGCTCTAAAGTTGTTTGATATAGCATTGAGCATAAATCCAACTAGTTATTTTTCACTTTCTGAAAAAGGTTTTTCATTCAATAACACTTAGGCTTATGTCTACAAGAATTAAAACGCTATTAGGAGGCCATCATTTGTTACTAGAAGGCTTTAAAGATACAGCCAAATAATGGGTGGACTTTATGTAGAAAAAGTATAGATATCAAACATTATTAGAATAATGTGAAGAGGCATTAATAAGGTAGAGATCAGGAGTGAAATAAATTTGAAATATAATATATTATATAGAGAATTATTATTCAGCTTGTTCATTTTAAAAGTTGCATCTTACATTATCTGATGATTTGGTACATTGAAATCAGAATTAATCAGAAATACTAGGATTCATTCAACAAAAAACAAACCTATAAATTAATTATATATAAAATATCAAATGGGTAACAAATCAGGATCAGAATTTGGTGGAATAATGATAAGAACTGAAAAATAGTTATATTTTGCTGGAGATGTTGTATAAGGTAATAAGATTACATTTAAGTTACTAAGGGAACATATATCTTCATATTATCAAAGAAGGATTTCGTGGAAAAGAAGTCAAACTTACCATATTGGGTAAAGAAAAAACAAGTTGGGAAACAGGATCAGGTACTCGAAGAAGAACACATGAAGGAAAAAATATTTTTCATCAAGTCACAGTAGTGGCCCATACATTTGAANAATTCTTAGCTTTATGCTTAAATATACTTGGTTAATAGAGAGAAGCTTTAGTTTTGGCCAATAAAGCTTTGACTATTGAACCTAATTCAGTAGAATCATTGACTTGTAAAGGTAAGTTTTATGTTTAAGTAAGGAAATATCTTATAACACATCGGACAATATTCTGAAGCATTGAAATTGTCAGATTAAGTATTAGATGGATATCCACAAAATTTGGAGTCTTTAAAGTGCAAATGTAAGAGAATGGTCTCCATAATTAGCTCATTGTCTATATATGTTGACTCGATATTAAGAGGCCATTAATTCAGCAAAAGTAATCTTAGATCATGAGCCCAAGAATATTAATATTCTATAAATATTTGGTATTAATAAATTATACCCATAATAGTGTAAAGTTTATTCAAACTTGGTATTTTTGGAGAGGCAATTATTTTTGCTGACAAGATACTAGAACTCTTCCCTAATCATTTAGATATATTGCTTTGTAAAGGTTAGAAAATTTGAATAATTTAAGCTCATAGTTTAAGATTACTTGGGAAATTTAATGAGGCCTTAGACATTGTAGACAAGGTACTTTGCATAGATTTAAATAATCTTAGTGGAATGTAGTGTAAAGGTTGTAATGCATTTATAATTTAGCTTAAACTTTATATATGTTGGATAAGAATGCTGATTCCATTATTTGGACAGAGAAGGTCTTGGCTATTGATCCCAATCATATCAGCACATTACACTGTAAAGGTATTACTTCATCTTAAGTAATAGCTGACAATTTAAGATTGCTTGGTAATTACAATGAAGCAATCAAATTGGCAGATAAAGTGTTGGCTATCGATCCTAAATTTGTTAATGCCTTATATTGTAAAGGTTTCTTTATTTCATTGATAATTAGCTGATAGTTTAAGATCACTCTCTTAGTATAATGAAGCCTTAATTTGGGCTGATAAAGTATTGGCTATAGATCCAAGACATGTTAATACTTTAGGAACCAAAGGTAAGCCTCAATACTAATTAGGCGATATTTTAAGAATTTATAAGAAATACGACTTTGCTCTAAAGTTGTTTGATATAGCATTGAGCATAAATCCAACTAGTTATTTTTCACTTTCTGAAAAAGGTTTTTCATTCAATAACACTTAGGCTTATGTCTACAAGAATTAAAACGCTATTAGGAGGCCATCATTTGTTACTAGAAGGCTTTAAAGATACAGCCAAATAATGGGTGGACTTTATGTAGAAAAAGTATAGATATCAAACATTATTAGAATAATGTGAAGAGGCATTAATAAGGTAGAGATCAGGAGTGAAATAAATTTGAAATATAATATATTATATAGAGAATTATTATTCAGCTTGTTCATTTTAAAAGTTGCATCTTACATTATCTGATGATTTGGTACATTGAAATCAGAATTAATCAGAAATACTAGGATTCATTCAACAAAAAACAAACCTATAAATTAATTATATATAAAATATCAAATGGGTAACAAATCAGGATCAGAATTTGGTGGAATAATGATAAGAACTGAAAAATAGTTATATTTTGCTGGAGATGTTGTATAAGGTAATAAGATTACATTTAAGTTACTAAGGGAACATATATCTTCATATTATCAAAGAAGGATTTCGTGGAAAAGAAGTCAAACTTACCATATTGGGTAAAGAAAAAACAAGTTGGGAAACAGGATCAGGTACTCGAAGAAGAACACATGAAGGAAAAAATATTTTTCATCAAGTCACAGTAGTGGCCCATACATTTGAAGATGATAATCTTATGGTTGGTTCATTCATATTTCCTTTTGAAGTCCATCTCTCTGCAAACTTACCTGGAACATTTTATTATAAGGATGGCGTTCTTGCAAGCTTAGCTTATAAGGTAATTGCGAGAGTAGTCTCAACATCTAAATCGATAAATGATATTAAAAATAAATAAGTACTAATCTTAAGGGAACCTATTAAAGAAATTATTTCATCGAAATAAAAGAGGGAATCTTCTTAGATTGTAAGTGGATGCTGTATTAAAAGAGGAGTATTTATAATTAATCATATTTTTAGACATCTTCAATTGAAGTAAAAGTAGAAAAAAATATATATTTTCCAACTGAATTTCTAAATTTTAATTATGATATAGACAACTCAAATTGTAAACTTGATGTAGATAAAGTAGATTCTGTACTTGTGAATAGATTAAGATTGAGATCTAATTCAGATAGTGAACATGTTCTTGAATTTGAATTAAATTATTAATACCATAAAGGTCCTTAAAAAGGAAATAAAATTTAACCTATTTAAAAGAAAGATTACCAATTATAGTTGATTAATTTAAAAAATCCTCTTTAGCACCTAACTCCATCAATTATAGGAAATTGCGTGAATTCAATATATTACTTGAAAGTTCAGCCACATTATGAGGGTAAGTGTAAAATCTAGTTAGGTTGTTCTTGTTGTTCACCTAGACCCACTGTGAAGATTCCAATTACCGTTTTGGCTATTCCCCCTAAGGAGTACATTCAACCATTGATCTAACCTGAAAATTGGAATCCTTAAGCATTTTAACCTATTATAATCTAATCAAATACTCAAGGCTAAGAAAGCATGCTCAATAAAAATCTATAGTAAATGGCTGATCCAATGAAAAATTGAAATTTTAACATAATACTTAAAAAGTTAGATTTTAATATTTATAAATTCATCTGATCCTCCCCTATAAAATATAATAATTCGTTATGAGAATCATATGAAATGACATATGAAAATTTTGTTATCATCATGTTTAATTGATTGAGTATTAAATGGATGTTTATAATTTTATATACTGAAAATTAGTTTGAACTTGTTAGAAATATAAAACAACATTATTATTAAACATCAGTAACTTCCTGAGTCATAAGAATAAACCTCTATAAATTTTGTTATATTTAATGTTAATTCTGATTAATTTTAAACATAGATAAGAGTTAGGACTGTTTTATATAGAAAAAAATTGTGTTACTGATATTGACTAGAAAATTAAAACTATATTATATATATAAATTCATTTTAGTACTTTTAATAAAAATTTGTAAAGATTAAGTTCATCAATATTATTCAGTAGATTTTCGTGATTGCTATTCAAATTGAATGTCTTTTATGGATTTAATTCCTATAGTTGTGTAAGCTTTTATTAAATCAGAGATTATTATCGCTCTTGCATCTCCATCCACACTGGAGACTGATTCGCTCAATTTAATGTAGTCTTAATCTTCTAATTCTTTGTATTTTGAAAAACAAGGAGAAGGTTTCGGGAAAGATGGTGTTATTGAAGGTTAATTTAATTATAGCATTTATTTGAATAATTCTTCTATGTAATTATAATCCGGCATCTAGGAAGGTGTTAAGGTATCAATATATAGCTAAAACTGATAAAATTAAGGGGGAAATTATTAGGAAAGCATACTTGTTTCATAAACCTAATCTTTTATAATACCGATCCTTCTAATATCCATTAATTAAAAAGCTTTTTGTTAGGTCTGTTGCCACGGTAATTTTTCTAGGGGTATTATTTAAATTACTTTTTCTTAAGTATGCTAAAACATAAAGTAGGCTTTCAAGATCATCTTTATAACCCAGCTATTCCTTTTTATGAGATTGACGACTGGCAAATCTTATTGAACCAATAAAGGTTTCTTTTAAGAACTTTTGATTTCCTAAATTTTAAGATAACCCAAAATCGATCAATTAGACATTCCCAGGTATGAGAATTTATTCTACTGAGTCAATTATTTATCGTTGTGATATCATTATGTTCTATGGTTTAATATCAAGATGCAATATTCCCTTGTTATGAACTTATTTAATTGTTCTTATCACAGTTAACCCTATTGCTAGTATGCTGTTCTAGGAAAGTAAGCTTGTCTTTCCTAGATCTTATAAACTGCAATTTAGCAGTGGTATGATTAGATAATTTCTAAGTTAAATGTTTAAAGTACTTAAAATCTTTGGTCTTACCATATTAGATTAATTTAGGTATTCCCTCTATACCAAATAGCTACTAAAGAATCTAAACTTCAGTCTCCACTTACCCAATTCCTGGTTTTTTTTCAATCTTTATAGCATATACATTTTAAGTCTCACTATGCTAAGCCTTTAAGACAACATGATCTGAACTTAAACCAAGATTTGAAATCATTTTGTACTCTGAGTTCTAAAGATACATTGATTCTTAGAATTATTATTAGAAAAATTTAGGAAAAAAAATTCCTTCTCGAATTTGAAAATAATATGAAGTAACAAACCGGGGTGAAACAATAATAATACTCATAAAATTAGTTTTAGCAATTATTATTATAAAAATAAATTTATTTCTTTTTGAAGTATGTAAAATCATTGTTTTAATGTTGAAAATATCTGAAGATAGCAGATACTTTTATTAGATCATATTTGAATAGAGAAATAATAAAAATAAATCAAGGTTAGTGATTTGCTTCTGTAGATGCATGTCTAATTTAAATCTCTTGATTATATTAATCCCAAGTAATTACATATTGCCGTCAGCGTTGGTTGTTCCAAATACATGGTCTTAATAATCAATTGATTATCCCAGTATAATATTTCTTGCGAAATTATTAATATAGTTATGATCAATAATATTTATTAAAACGCAATAGATTAACCTGATATCCATTTATTATTAAGAGAAGTCTTTTATTTGAGATGTATTATGCTGGATTAAAATATAAAATTATTAATTTTTCCATTCACAGGAATCATCTCATTTATTTTAAATAATAAATGAGCATTTGTTCATTGATAAACATTTATAACATACATCCTCCCAACAATACACAAATATGCTATTATTTAAAATAAACAAATTTCATACTTTTTAATGGTGTTAATTCTCTAAAAATTCTCTCAAGAATTAGTTTTAAATTACATTACCGAAAGTGTAGAGTTATCCCAGTAAGAAATCACTTAATCACCTTATTAATTTATTGATATTCTATGAATTGTGGAATCATTTTCTGAAATTGTTTAGGAACAAGAAATACTCAAATTTGTGTATTTTGCATTAAAATTATGAGCAAATCCAAAATTTAATCGTTTAGTCAATACCGAATACTTAAAGTCATATCAAAAGAACCAGAAATAAAATTTATATTGTTCTTCTGAAGGAATATTGAGTTACAATGCAAATCTCTATAACTCCTAAGATATCTTATGAATTTCAAATCTCCCTCTTTGAATCAAAACATTTTGATATATGAATCAAAACCAAACTAAAAGTATGGAATTACCTTCATTAATTGTAATAGTATAGCACAATTTTTATTATTTTATAAAAGTTTATTAATGAGTACATAAGAATGGGGTCTTAAACAAGAATCTTCTTGAATTTTATATATTATAATATTATTTTTAGTTTAATTATTCATTTCTCATTTATGTAATGGCATTCCTTGTTTAAGGTAATTCTTGATTACTCCAAAGAAAAATAGCATAGTATATAACTTAAGTTATTTCTGATCGCATAGAGTGGATATGATATATGAAATTAAAATTTCATAATAGTATCTGAAATTAGATGTTTATTATATTTGAAGACAACATTTATTGATAACATAAATGCTGTAATGTTTAAATTAAAATTATGTTTAATTCGATAATGTATCAATAATTGTACGTATTAAGTCGAATATGATGCTAATTTTTGAATTGATATCATATGATAAGGAAATACAATATTTATTGAATGATTAAATAATTGCTTGCTGTAGTGACAATAGGAATAATTTCAATTGCACCGTATTTGGATAACACCGATAGAAATCCTTGGTTCGAAGATGATACATTTATTGTATCCGTCGATGGAAAAATCAATAGAATTAGGAGGTCTGATCCAGATTGGAAACCTTAGTCAGAATTTGAGTATTTAATATGAGTGAACNTTCAAGATCATCTTTATAACCCAGCTATTCCTTTTTATGAGATTGACGACTGGCAAATCTTATTGAACCAATAAAGGTTTCTTTTAAGAACTTTTGATTTCCTAAATTTTAAGATAACCCAAAATCGATCAATTAGACATTCCCAGGTATGAGAATTTATTCTACTGAGTCAATTATTTATCGTTGTGATATCATTATGTTCTATGGTTTAATATCAAGATGCAATATTCCCTTGTTATGAACTTATTTAATTGTTCTTATCACAGTTAACCCTATTGCTAGTATGCTGTTCTAGGAAAGTAAGCTTGTCTTTCCTAGATCTTATAAACTGCAATTTAGCAGTGGTATGATTAGATAATTTCTAAGTTAAATGTTTAAAGTACTTAAAATCTTTGGTCTTACCATATTAGATTAATTTAGGTATTCCCTCTATACCAAATAGCTACTAAAGAATCTAAACTTCAGTCTCCACTTACCCAATTCCTGGTTTTTTTTCAATCTTTATAGCATATACATTTTAAGTCTCACTATGCTAAGCCTTTAAGACAACATGATCTGAACTTAAACCAAGATTTGAAATCATTTTGTACTCTGAGTTCTAAAGATACATTGATTCTTAGAATTATTATTAGAAAAATTTAGGAAAAAAAATTCCTTCTCGAATTTGAAAATAATATGAAGTAACAAACCGGGGTGAAACAATAATAATACTCATAAAATTAGTTTTAGCAATTATTATTATAAAAATAAATTTATTTCTTTTTGAAGTATGTAAAATCATTGTTTTAATGTTGAAAATATCTGAAGATAGCAGATACTTTTATTAGATCATATTTGAATAGAGAAATAATAAAAATAAATCAAGGTTAGTGATTTGCTTCTGTAGATGCATGTCTAATTTAAATCTCTTGATTATATTAATCCCAAGTAATTACATATTGCCGTCAGCGTTGGTTGTTCCAAATACATGGTCTTAATAATCAATTGATTATCCCAGTATAATATTTCTTGCGAAATTATTAATATAGTTATGATCAATAATATTTATTAAAACGCAATAGATTAACCTGATATCCATTTATTATTAAGAGAAGTCTTTTATTTGAGATGTATTATGCTGGATTAAAATATAAAATTATTAATTTTTCCATTCACAGGAATCATCTCATTTATTTTAAATAATAAATGAGCATTTGTTCATTGATAAACATTTATAACATACATCCTCCCAACAATACACAAATATGCTATTATTTAAAATAAACAAATTTCATACTTTTTAATGGTGTTAATTCTCTAAAAATTCTCTCAAGAATTAGTTTTAAATTACATTACCGAAAGTGTAGAGTTATCCCAGTAAGAAATCACTTAATCACCTTATTAATTTATTGATATTCTATGAATTGTGGAATCATTTTCTGAAATTGTTTAGGAACAAGAAATACTCAAATTTGTGTATTTTGCATTAAAATTATGAGCAAATCCAAAATTTAATCGTTTAGTCAATACCGAATACTTAAAGTCATATCAAAAGAACCAGAAATAAAATTTATATTGTTCTTCTGAAGGAATATTGAGTTACAATGCAAATCTCTATAACTCCTAAGATATCTTATGAATTTCAAATCTCCCTCTTTGAATCAAAACATTTTGATATATGAATCAAAACCAAACTAAAAGTATGGAATTACCTTCATTAATTGTAATAGTATAGCACAATTTTTATTATTTTATAAAAGTTTATTAATGAGTACATAAGAATGGGGTCTTAAACAAGAATCTTCTTGAATTTTATATATTATAATATTATTTTTAGTTTAATTATTCATTTCTCATTTATGTAATGGCATTCCTTGTTTAAGGTAATTCTTGATTACTCCAAAGAAAAATAGCATAGTATATAACTTAAGTTATTTCTGATCGCATAGAGTGGATATGATATATGAAATTAAAATTTCATAATAGTATCTGAAATTAGATGTTTATTATATTTGAAGACAACATTTATTGATAACATAAATGCTGTAATGTTTAAATTAAAATTATGTTTAATTCGATAATGTATCAATAATTGTACGTATTAAGTCGAATATGATGCTAATTTTTGAATTGATATCATATGATAAGGAAATACAATATTTATTGAATGATTAAATAATTGCTTGCTGTAGTGACAATAGGAATAATTTCAATTGCACCGTATTTGGATAACACCGATAGAAATCCTTGGTTCGAAGATGATACATTTATTGTATCCGTCGATGGAAAAATCAATAGAATTAGGAGGTCTGATCCAGATTGGAAACCTTAGTCAGAATTTGAGTATTTAATATGAGTGAACACTATAGAGAGTACCATGAACAAATTTATTAAGAGTAAGAGAGATAGAGAAAAGAATAAATGAAGGAATTTTTAGAAAGTACTGCAAATGTATGTACAAATGGAAAAGATCCAAGTTAATTGAGCTTGTAAGCCTATATTAACGAATTCATTGCAGGTCCATGTCAACCTGCTATCTTGGTACCTGGAATAATAGCAACAATTTTACAAGTAATAATATTATTCTATATGTATACAGGTTAAAATTGATTGTGAAACATTGTAAGCAAAAAGACCAGATATCTTCGAAAATTGCGGTTGGTAAACATGCAGTGCATCTAAGTTTTGGTTAAAGAAACCGAATGAAGAATATAGACTATGGATGGGATCCATAAATAGTCCATTTACAATTGCAATGACAAATAAGAAAAGTAAATGTTTTGGTGATTTTATTGAACTATATTATGATAAATCAAAAAAGGATCCAAAAGAGAGGTATTCAGCTGCACCTGGTATATCTATCACTTGGCATGGGAATACTCCTTAGAGTGCTGATGCAGAATGTGGAACTACAGCTATCTAAGAACTTTCTACTGATTCAATCATCAAATCATCAATGTGTGACACTAAGGGATATCATAAATTTTCTGACACTTTAAAAAATATGGGATACATACCAGGTTTGACTATGCAAGCTGCACCATATGATTTTAGAAAATCAATTGTAGCTTCAGAATCACAAAAATACATCAAGAAATCTATTGAAACATTCCATAAGTTGACTGGCAAAACTACATATATATTTGGACATTCCTTAGGATCTTTGCATGCAACTGAGGCAATCTATAATATGACACCAGAAGAAAAGTAAAAAGTAGCTGGTATTGTTACTATGGCCGGTCCACTATTAGGGGCTACGAAAACATTCAAACCATAAGTAGGAGGAGATGATAGTTACATGTTTAAAGTTCTATCCATTGATGCTGGCATTAATTGGTATGCTCAAAGAAAGATGTCACGTACTTCCTCTAGTGTTGTTGATCTTTATCCTAAAGATACTTATTTTAGATTTAGATCAGAGACTTGGATGCAACAAATACTAGATAGAATTAAATGGGATAAAGAATTCATATCTACAGGCAAACGACCCTCAAGACCTAACCCTTTGAATTGGTTCCCTGAACCTGATTAAGTTTGTGGTGCTGATTTTGAAGAAAGATCAAATCATTGCTAACTATTAATGAGTGATATGAGTGAACACTTCTTAAGGGTTGTCGATAAATTGTATTATTCTACTGAAGAATCTATGATTGAGGCACTTTCAGACAACATTAATTCTGATGCTCTTTAACAATTATTGGATTACGTTTAAGAAACTAAAAGAGTCAAGGCTGATAATCTTGAACATCCAGGAGTTCCAATGGTAGTTATTTATGCAGCTAATCAATTGACTCCAGCCCAATTCGAATATGATAAACAGCCTTAACCAATTGTTGATTCCTCAGATGATTTCTATCTACCTGATCATATTTATAAAGCTTATGGCGATGCAACTGTTCTTGCCTCATCTGCTATGACACCAGCCATCAAGTGGATTTATGAACACAAAAATGGATAAACCAATATTCCAACCAAATTAGTTGAATATTGTTCACAATACAGTGGCGATGCTGTCTCTTCAATTTATGATTCAACAGATGAATAACAATAGAAACAATTTACCTAATCAGGTTATTTGGGTCTTACATGTTCTTGTAAATATGGATAAACTGTAATTTATTATATTATTCTAGGGAATAGACCATTGTAGTCATGGTTGCATTATATCAGATGCATTACTTATATAGTTTGCTTCTCAGGTTCTGACTACTAATTGGAAATCGACTATTTCCCAAACAACTGCAACTGAAATTGAACTAAAAGCTATTAAAGAGGGATGTACAAATTTGCATTGAACATCATATTGTGATAATTATAAATAACAAAATATTATAAAATTATTCATATTTTATAACATATTTAACAAAAATTAGATGATTATCTAAAATGAGATTAAATGAATAAATGGTAATACTACTACTAATGTTTGAATATGAGAATATTTTTCAAAAATTAATTAGAATAAATTATAACTATATACTTCGCAAATCTAAATTAAAGGAACGATAAGATGATCATGAGGATACTTCTAAATTTTATTATTACACTAAATTCATGATTTGACAGCAATCTTAAAGATAAAATAATTTGAAAATACTATTTATTTTCAAATATTTTCTGCGTGTAAGTACAATTTATAAAAAGAATTCTTTTATCAACATCTAAGAAGATTCGATTTCATTAAAATTATTGTGTATTGGATGTTTCCTTTCATAAATTTATGATCTCTGCTCTAACATTTTAATTTAATTTAAATTCAAAAATTTTCATATATATGTTGATTAAAATTATAGATGAGTATTAGAAATTAAATTAATCTAAAATTATTTTAAAAAATTTGACATTGTATTTCTTTTAGATTTTTTTATTAAAGTAACATAATTTTGCTATGAAGCACAATATCAATATGGGAGTGTAACTATTAATTCGAATAGATAACAAACAAAATTACATAATATGAAGAAATAAATGAATACCCTATCAACGAAATTTAGTATTTTAAGCTGAATCAATCACAAAATTTGAATTATAATGTTCTGATTTATTGATAGCTCCTATTTCTATTACTAAGGATGCCACCATATTTTAGTATTAACAGAAAAACTGATTATTAATAAATTAATATAAAAAAATATATGGTTTGTAGTTAATATTTAATAAGCTTTAAGTATATAGTATTTAAAGCCTTTCCTTATAATATTTATATATTCCTAAACTATATTCTATTTTTGATAAAAGTAATCATTTTTTACATCATATAATAATGAGATCGTTATAATTTCAATGAAGGATTAATCAGAACAATCTAAATCCTATAATTCAAATCTTTAGTGTATAAAATCAAAACTCTAAAAAGGCTTAGATTATAATTGTTTTCAATATTCTTTATGGCATAGAACAATTACCTATAAATCAAAATTTCTGAAATAAGTGATTACTATATATTTATGACACATATCTTAATTATGTTTTAATATAGTTTTTATAAATGATCATAAAATTAGTTGTGCTGATATTATGCGTGATTGCATCAGATAATTGGTATCAACAGCATAAATATTTTAACACCACCACTTTAACGGACACTGAAGGTATTATTAATATATATTTAGGCTGGTGGGTTCAGGGAAATAATGGATAAAATATTAGCACTTGTGATGGCGTTTAAATGTTTGGAGGTTATAATGTTTTTGGAAAGGGGACAGTTGTTTCGAACTTACTTCCTTTAGATCCGCATTGTAAAATACGCGTTACTTTCTAGTTTTGGAAGTATTTATGATTATTAAGTTAAGAATAGATAGTTGGGATAATGAAATCGTATATTTTATACTAGATGATAAAGTTTAAACTGGGACTTGGTATTGGGATACGGGAGATGTTAAATGCGGGAATCCAGAACATCCGAACGAATGGAAAGAAGTTATAGTAGAAGAAAAAATCGAATTTTTGCACTAAGAACCCACGCTTGCTGTAATAATCAAAACTAATTTAGATGAAATTCCTTATAATGTATTCATATAATTAATCAAGGAATCTTGGGGATTTAGAAATTTTATAGTGGAGGTAGTCCTGTGTTCACCAGGCTGTATAAGATGTAGTAATGATACACCTGATGAATGCTTATATTACATACCAATAGAAGTGAATTGGTTTGACAGTTTTAATTTTGATGGGTGGCTTCTTAATAATTAATAGTTTGTTGGCATCAGCCTATGTGTCAACATGACGGTAATAGGAGGAGTTGGTCTTATTTCAGGAAATTAATAGTTAGCAAAGAAATATACATCTTTGATCCCACATTATAAACTAATATTATAGGTTCAGTTTTGGAAATTTGACTTTTGGAATAATAATAAATTCACTTTAGAGATTGATGGGCAAAAAATTTAAGAAGAAGTTTTTAATTAATATGAGGTTTTTCCTCTTTGTGGTGATAGCAGTGGGGGTGAAAAGTTATTAGACATTCGCCAGGAGTTGACTCATACATCTGATAGTCTGTAAATTTGTATGTATTCTGACCTTATTGCTACAAATGCTTTTTGGGGATTACGAGGCTTTAGATTATTTCTAGCAAAATGCGATGACACATGCCTTACTTGTTCTGGACCAAAAAAAAATGACTGTTAATCTTGTCAACCTGGATATAGACATTAAAATAATGAGTGTTTAGATGGTATATTTAAAATAATATTTTAGTAAAATGGATCTTGGGTTTATAACAATATTTCTAACCTTAAGATTTTCAAACTCAACCTGGTTGGACTATATCAAATATTTACTATAATCAATCTCCATTTTAAATATGTGCTAATGCCAATCTAGTAGGAGGGTACTCATTGTTATCTAAGGATTCTCAAATAGCCTTAACTATGGATTTGCCTAAACATACAAAAGTAAGAGTCAAAGTATAATTTTGGAAATTTGATACTTGGGATAATGAATGGTTTCAAGTATATGCAAATGGAAATCGAGTTTACTAAGAATAGTTTGGATTTACTGGAGTTCAAGTAATTTGTGGATCAACTACTTCTAATGCTTATGCAAAGTATTTGGATTTTGAATTTGTTCACAGTAACCCAACTATCAATTTAGTTATGACCACTACTTTAAATGAAAATGCACTTAATGAATCATGGGGAATCAGAAATTTTTAATTATTTTACGGAATTATACAGGAATGCAGCTATTCTGTTATTGAGACCTTTAGTTTACCTTCATTCATAGGAACTAAGCATATTTAAACAACTTTATATTCATTTGATCAATCCTTGTAAAATAAATTGGTAATATCTGAACTCGGGATCACTCTATATCCTGAATTTGATGAAACAATAACTGTTGACTCTTCAATTGAAAAATTGACAATCTCAATCATTTGGAAATGTTTTTAAACTGATCTAAATTTTTCCATTACTATATTACAAAGCAGTTACCCAGATTACAAAACAGGAACAGCTGTTTGTAATAGAAAACGATCCAATGTATTAAACTCCTTGGTGGTTTTGGAAAGAATAATAAAATAAGAATCATAACTTAGGTTAGTAGCTACTTCAACATCGATTTAGATAACTTAAATAGTATAAACTTAAACTATAAAGTAATACGAAATTGTAATTAACTGATAATAAATATCATTTCGAATTATCAATATTATTAATAAACCTCTAATTTTATCTGTTATAACAATTTGGTTCAATAAATAGGTATCAAAGTTTATGAGAATTAAAAATTATTGTTTTAACAAAATTCCACTAATTCTCTAAATGCAAGTTATTTTTAATTATTTCTTGTATTGTTTATTTCAAATTTTGACAGCTAAAATAAAAGAGGGAAGAAATATTAATAATTAAGGAAATAGTTTATTTCAATTTCTTTCTCATTGTATTTCAAAGTGTCCAGCCATTCTCAGTTATGATTTATTGTACAGAGATAATCGATGAGATGAAGAGTAACTTGAATCGTATATCAAAAAAAGAAGGAACTCTAGTAGCTAATATTAATATTGAGTAAATCTATTTAGAATTACTAAACATATTTAAAGGCAATGTGAGTCATTAGTTGCAGTACCATATCATAATAGAGAAACCTTATGAATTTCTTTTCGTATTCCTTGAAATACATATTGGTTTTATTTGTTCAATCTTGAATAAACTCATTATTATCTAAATAGGAATCAGTCTATTGGCTTACTCCAATAAATTGGTTTATTTAGTTACTACTACTTTAAACAAATGCTATTTATAATGGTTGATTTATTATAAAAAAACTGTCTAGATCATTTATTTTTCTTCTATTTTGGAGCTTCCTTGACTATTTTCCAAATACATATACGATATTTTTATAGATACTAATTATTGTTGTAAATTAATTATCAAATTAATATATAGTAAATAGAAGTAGCTCCTAAAATTTATGAAGTGCTTGTGCAAAATGAAAAACATCCAAAAATATAAATATTTCTTGCATAATAATATCTTATAGATAGCAATTTAGAATCTATTCATTGATAAATGATGAATGTACATTAAGCTCTTAAGATTACAGCCATTTTTTAAAAAGGAATTTAAAGAGTAGAATTGTATTCCTAAAACAAAAATTTAGCTATAGACCTACCCTGCTTTGAAATCTGCAAATCCATACTTCAAGCTACACAACCCCGATTAATATTTATTTCAAATAACAATTTTTTTGAATGATACCAAACATTTGCTTTCAGGGAAAATACTCATAATCTAAGCTAGATTTTTCAAGCAGACTTTATCAGCTATACTCTAAGAAAGCTCAGTTTACGGTAAGATGTTAGAATGATTATGTCAAATCTTGCTATTCTCTTTTTTGATTATATTAAGGTTATAATGAATTACTTTCTCATAGGCTTATATATCACATTTAGAGATGAATTTCATTAATATTAATAAGATCTCTATCAATTTTAATTATTGAGAATGAATATCTACAATAGCACTTAATGAAAAATAAATGGGGAATGCAATTCATAACCCATTTAACAATATATCTAAATAATTGCAGTAAATAGAATATTGAAATCTTATGACTTAATATTCTCTAAGTGTTTTTTAACTTTAGGCCTATAATAAACGCAGCTTCAATAAAACACATAAAAAGCAATCAACAATCTTTTGAGTCTAGTTGATATTCTGATAAAAAATTTCATTTAGATTTTCATTTTGAAGATTTAAAGAACTTTAATATCTCTAGTAATAAATATTTGGCTAACAGCATTGTTAGTAAAATATAATAGATTTACATTTTTAGGCTACTCCTAATGAACATATGCTCTAAAATGAAACATTATTACAGAAATTTTATATAGAAGCTGTGAGGTTATTTACTTCTGTAAAAATTCTTTTTAAAGATAAGGCAAAGTTATTATTTGAGATCTGGTGATGCAATCTTTAAACGAAACTAGATGAGGCTAAATTTTATATAATTAATTACACAAATTGCAGAATAATTTTTCAATTAATTATAAATAATTGAATTATGATTATAAATTTTTATTGATAATTTATTGATTAAAGAATAGTAAATTAATTAATGTATATTATTAATTAGGGATATTTAAGTGAGAAAGATAATTATTTATTTAAATTGTTTATACTTAAATGGATCTGTTTAAGTGTAAATATGTTCCTCATGAAAATGAAGAAGTTATTGGATTTTGTTTGAATGGGGATTGTTAAAATACAACTCAATATTGTTTTGAATGTTTAAATACTAAAGATTCACCACATTCAGAACATTTCAATGATTGTATTAGATTCACAAAAATGATCTAATTTATGAAAGAATTGATACAAGTGAACAATCAATTAAGGATATAATTCAAAGATGTCTATATACAATTATAGAACAATGTTGCAAAAATTTAAAAACATTTGGATCAAGAAATTAGTACATTAGAAAATATGACTCAACAGCTTTAAAACAAAGAGTATTTGGCTTGTAAATCATAAATACATATAATAAAACAGTTTTATTCCAAGGAAAAAGAAAACTGCAAATGTATCTTTGTTTATTCATATATAATATTAATAGAATAACAAATAATACAATTCAATAATATTCTTGATACATTAAAGAAGATGTTAGCAGACTAAACTAAAATGGAAGAATAAATAGATTCTGGTTGTCAAAAGGATACTATAGTTAATTAATAGAGTGAAGATCAAAAAAACTAGTTGAATTTTGAAGATGCTCAAAGATTATTAAATCAAGGTATATTAATTTGATTTATAATAGGTGTGGAATTAAATAATCTAAATAAGTATGAGGAAGCAATTGAGTGTTACGATAAAGCTATTCCCATAAATCCTAAAGATGATTTGGCATGGTACAATAAGGGTAAGTAATGTGACACATTATTATTGTTTAGGCATTTCATTAGATGATCTATAAAAATATTAGGAAGCAATTGAGTGTTACGATAAAGCTATTTCCATAAATCCTAAATTGGATTTAGCATGGAACAATAAGGGTAAGTAATGTGACACATTATTATTGTTTAGGCATTTCATTAGATGATCTATAAAAATATTAGGAAGCAATTGAGTGTTACGATAAAGCTATTTCCATAAATCCTAAATTGGATTTAGCATGGAACAATAAGGGTAAGTAATGTGACACATTATTATTGTTTAGGCATTTCATTAGATGATCTATAAAAATATTAGGAAGCAATTGAGTGTTACGATAAAGCTATTTCCATAAATCCTAAATTGGATTTAGCATGGAACAATAAGGGTAAGTAATGTGACACATTATTATTGTTTAGGCATTTCATTAGATGATCTATAAAAATATTAGGAAGCAATTGAGTGTTACGATAAAGCTATTTCCATAAATCCTAAATTGGATTTAGCATGGAACAATAAGGGTAAGTAATGTGACACATTATTATTGTTTAGGCATTTCATTAGATGATCTATAAAAATATTAGGAAGCAATTGAGTGTTACGATAAAGCTATTTCCATAAATCCTAAATTGGATTTAGCATGGAACAATAAGGGTAAGTAATGTGACACATTATTATTGTTTAGGCATTTCATTAGATGATCTATAAAAATATTAGGAAGCAATTGAGTGTTACGATAAAGCTATTTCCATAAATCCTAAATTGGATTTAGCATGGAACAATAAGGGTAAGTAATGTGACACATTATTTTTTTTTAGGCTCTGCATTAGATGATCTATAAAAATATTAGGAAGCAATTGAGTGTTACGATAAAGCTATTTCCATAAATCCTAAATTGGATTTAGCATGGAGTAATAAAGGTAAACCATTTTATAATTTAGGCTTGGCATTACATAAATTAAAGAAATATAAGGATGCGATTCAATGCTATAATTAAGCTCTTTCTATTTGCATTAATCCTGTAAGACTATAAAGAAAAGGTAAACCTTTTTAAATTAAATATTTATATAGCTGATTCATTATTTGAATTGCAGTAGAAAGAAGAAGCTAAACAATTTTATTTGGATGCTCTACGCCAAGGATCAAATAATAAGGATTACATAAATGGATAACTCGCCAAATTATGAAACACCATAATATCAATCGATCAAATTCTTAATTCCTTTTTTTAAAATGTAAGATAACATTTCTTATGATTCCTTTCTAATACACTCATCTCAAGTACGAATGAGGTTCCTTTCGATTTATATTTTTCAAGCTAAAACTTATTTCCTTTTTACAAGAATACAGCATATTTAAACCTTACCAAGTTGTGATTCTTCATATTGTACATCACCTTCCAGTTGACTCTGTTAAATTTCATTTTACTTAGATTATACACTTTTCTTTAAAGAGATAGAGCTTTCATAATGATAATTTATGATAAATACTGCTCGAAAATAATACCTCAATCAATAAAGATTGCTATAATTCCAAAAATGTTTGTTGTAACGATTGGCTTCGCGCATCAATTTTTAGCAGTAGGAGCGAAAAGCAATTGATTTTACTTGAACAATTCTTTGAAATTAGCTTAAGAAATTTCGCTTCTTATATATATTAATACATTACTCAAATCTCTCTAGATATCATTTCAATCTAGTTTTAACTTATTAATAAACTTTCACCATGTTTATCAAATAGTTGAGAACTTCATCACTTTTTTACTGCTTATCTGTACTCAAAAAACGATCCTTCAAAATTAATTTGAATGCTACCTCTATTATTATTAATGAGATTTATAAACAGCACCTTTTATAAATATGACATTTTCTATAATTTTTCAATCGTTCATTAAATCCTTTGAGATTTAAGCTCTTAGAAAAGATTTTCACTCGCTTTTACTCCACTTCTATTCAATCTTTTTGGCTCATCTACCTTTGCCAGTATTTTCTAAGCTCCACTCCACTCTTCTAAGTAAAATATTTTATCTATTAGAATGATAACTTTCTCCCTTCTTCATTAATTTTCTATATTATTTTTTGGATATCTACAGCATTTTTGTTCTATTTAAGTAACCAATTAACTATATCGGAATAATGCACTACAAGATAAAATCATTCTTTTTGCATACTATTGTAATTTCACTAGCGTGAAAACCTAATAATCATTTAGTCTTAAAATAAATTAGGTATTATACAATTGTAAATTCATTAGTGCAGTGCAGTGCAATTGTTTGAACATCAAATAACTCAAATGATTCTCGAGGATTCTATTCATTGAATTTCATGCCTCTTAATTTTATTTCTGCCTGAATAATGGCAGTAAATACTGATAATTTTTAATATCTCCGGTTAACTTGTCAAAGATTTAAGGCATAGAAAAAGCTGAGAGTAAATCAAACAAATAAAGAAGAATCCAAGAGCATATTCTTTCTGAATAGTTTTAGGTTAAATATACTTCAAAAAGATTATAAAACTCAATTTGACTAATGATTACATCATACTTCAAAATAAGTATTTATTTATTTTATATTTTAATAGTGCTATAAAAAAGAGATACTATTGAAACAACAACTAAAAATTGATATGCTCAAAAGTTAAATTTACAGCTATATGGCTAAACCAAAAGTTCTGGTTTAATTTTGTTTCTTTGATCATATCACAAGATTTTAAATGCATAGGGTGGATCTAATTAAGAATATTTGGAGTAAAGGTAAATTGTATATTTATTAGATTTTGAAAATATATCATCTTTCATATTCTTGAATTTAGATAATTTAAATGTTCAAATGTATGAAAAATTAAAAGAAAAAAAATTCTTGTTTTTAGGCGATATTTTTAAGTAATTTTTGAATTTAATACCAATGTGGGCAGCTAATGAAAAACATTAAGTGCGTTAAGAAGATTTGACAAATTAGAAATATGTCTATAAATAGTTTATAGTTTATAACCTAAGCAGGATATAACTTTAAAGAGAATAGGGAAGTTATTATAGCAAGATTACAGTAGGGGAATATAGATGTCCACTAACTTTGCATCAAGTTTGCAAGGGAATCCTCAATCTTTAGGCCTTCTTTGTTTTGTTGTTCAAATCCTCTGACACTTGTGTGATATTTCAAAATTTTCAATAGTGATTTCTTAATGAAACCAAAGTTTATTAGGCATATGTCCATGACTTTTGGTCAATATAATTCATTAGTAAAGTAAAATTTTGAGAAAGTTAGAGTTTATTAACTTTAATTTGTAGGAATGACTGAATTTTGATTGATTAGATCAATACAAATGATTCTTTTCTAAATAAACCTTAATTTAAAATTCTTAATTATTCATATTTGAGAAGTTTCCCTTCAAACAACTGTAGGAAAATAAAGAGACAATGGCTGCAGACTTAAAGTGTACTAAAAAATTTATATCTAATAAAAGTATCTCCAGTTAAGGATGATTATTAAGAAGAGGTAATCTGTAAAAGATTGATATATAATTATATTATTGTTAAATTCAAAGACGATTACAAGCACATTCTAGACCTCTCATTTGTAAAAAATCTGCTCTAGATTTATTTTAAATAGGACCAATCAAATGTCAATTATAGATCTTAAACTCCAGCAGACGAACATGCTAACTAAGTCTCAACTTAATTTCTACTAATGTTAAATTGTAAATACTTCGAACACAGTTTTGGTTGACATCCTTGTCCATTTGGGAATAAAAGATATTAAATTTTATCCTTGCAAAAATACAAGAGATTGTTTACATGAGCAAAAATTGGAAAATATTATCAAATCTTACAACCAGTGATTATAATAGTGGAAGTAATCAATAATAATTTTCTTAATATAGTCCTTCAAACAATATATTCTATTAAATTTAAAGCAATAATTTTCTAGTTAATTTCATCTTGACTAAACTGATGGAATTGTTATTTGGAATTAAAGTCTGTTTCCATACCATTTAAAGCCTCTTTATTAAATTTCTAATAATAATTCCAGAAGTTTATTTATACTACATAAATTATGGCAGGAGTAAATATCCTTTAAAATGAAATACAATAATTTACAAGCAAATGGTCATATATAATTAACATGTACAGGATATCTGTTTGAAACGATATAACTTAAAGTAAATTTCATTTTCATTTTCAGTTTCTGTTTAATGCTAAAAATTGCAATTTATCTTTTGAAAATTGCTAAGAATATTACTAATAAAAAGAAACTACATGGCTCCTAATTTTTAAGAAATAGACACATCTAGGAATAAAAATTGATTATTAAGGTAGGTTTATTCAGTCTAGAGGTTATTACAATAATTATTCTGTATACTTAAATATAATTTCATTCTTTGATTAATGAAAGTAAAAAATGATAAAAACTTTGAAGATTAGTAAAAATGAAATTTTTATCAAATAGGAATTGTCTATTTTAAAAAAAAGCTCAACTTATGTGAAAGTAGATTATTTCAGATGGTTTAGATTTTTATTAACCTACAAAATTAACAAAGATAATCTCATTACCAAAAATTAGCCTTATTCCAATAATAATGATTACTAAATAAAATGTAAGAAAAGATTATTGGATGTAAAATTATTACCACAAACTTTTAATATTGAGAATTATTCGATTAAGAACATTAAAATTACTTCACACATATAGTCTGTAGATAATAAAATTTTGCATCCATTTACGAGCGGTAATCGCCTTTAGCAGAATAGATAATCAATTGAGGTAATTAACTATTGAAAGTGAGTACAACAAATTAATAATGCCAATTTATAATTTTTAATAACCTTCTGGACCATCACAATCTTTTCAAAATAATAGTATAATAATAGGAGCTTCCATTTATCTTGTTTTAAGGTTTCAGAAGATTATTTCCTAATTCTTCTATCTAAAACAGCTAAAGCTACCTGTGTTTAATTTTCCTTCATTGTAATCACAGTAAATATTCTATCTCATTGGTTTTTATTCAGCTACATCAAAAATTCTTTCTAAATGAAGTATATTGGCCAAATTAAATTTACACTAAAATTTAAATAATTTGTAGATAAAAATATTTTCTTATAAAATAAATGTTACTACTATTATAGCCAAATATTTTAGCTAAAGGAATCTACCTTGGACATAAAGACCAGAATGATATGGCTTCACCAATGGTACACTATCAAATGTA